ATATATATATGTGTGTGTATATATATGTATATATAAACATATAAACATATAAACATATATATATATATATATATATATATATCACATAATAGTCAATGTACTGTATAGGTATTCTGTGGCACTTACATCGGCACTGGTAGCCTTGCTTCTTATTGATGCCCCAGCAGAACTGATGGCAACCGTCGCAGAAGGTCGGGTGGGCGAAGTACACCTCACTGGTGGTTGGCGGTAGTGGGCAATAAAGGAGGACGCAAGAGACGCAGGCGTTGAGAAACAATGCAGAAAATAAAACAGAAAATAAGGCAACTCAGATATACATATGGCTGTATATATATTGAAAGGAAAGGAAAGCGAAGTACACCTCACTGGTGGTCGTTGGGAATGAACAATAAAGGAGGACGCAGGCGGCGGATGCCGGAGTGACGTTACTGTATATAGCAGCTCAGATAGACATACATACACAAATAAAATATATACTAAAAGGTCAAAGAAGCGGAGTACACTCCACAATCGGGCGCTGGTAATGGACAATAAAGGAGGAGACAGTCGGCGACAAAAACGTCCGCGAGATGCTGTCTGATAAATATATCATACATACACAGATACTGCGGAAGCCCACTTAAAGCTGGCGTCAACATATACCCACGTTTAGCCTCGAACCTCCGATTAAAGTACGTATATATCCAATACGTACTATGGCATGCACAACTTCAATTGTGCCCAACCTCGGCGTTGGTGATACAACACGTGTATAAATTTTACATCTATTGCAAAACGTAAGCACGATGGCAGGCTACCTACCCCCATCTGCGCCCATCTTCCCGAACGTGTTCTAGCAAAACGTAGATGTACGTATATTCCCATACGCAACAAAACAAAAAGACATATAGTGCAAACCGTACTGGAGTTACGGCTTGGCCAATACCTACCTCCATCTGTGCCCGTCCGACTCAATGGTTTTTGGCCAGTTTGTTTTCTTTTTTCCTTTCGTTTTCTCAGGCGCAATAGAGCTTTGGCTGCTAATAGAATTGACCCGTGAATCGTGACCTCCAAAACTGGGTCGTTTGTCTGGAGGGGAGTAGTGGAATACGTAAATTAGTTTTTTTTAGGGTTTAGGATTTTGGGTTTAGGGTTTATTCAGTTCCGATAACGATACATGTACTCGTATATGGTCATGGGGGTATCCAACTGTGTGTACATATAACAGTATCATATGCAATAGAGCCTTGGCTGCTAAAGGGATCGACCCGTGAATCGCGTGTCCGTGTGTGTACATATCTACATGTAATACAAGAAAATCCCCCCCAAAAAAAACCCAACAACAACGCTTTGGCACTCTGAACGACAACGTAGGTAGGTATATTGGACTCGACACGCCGACCCAAACCCGGATTTAGCTGAACACCCAACATACATACTTTCAGTCTGAGAAAACACATACTCTTGTTTTTCTTTATACTAACGGAGTCGATCGACAGACTCTTGTTATCTTTTTTGGACCCCGACGCACCCGATTCTTCAAAATCGAAAAATGATATTTTGGCGCTCATTGGTTCCGGCTGATGACCCTCGGAGGGCGATGAAATCATGGGAGGCTGCATACAACATAAACAAAATGAACTTTAACTCTGCATGTATATATAATATTACAGAACTTTATGTATTTGTAATTATATGGGATGTACAAAGACAG